TATCTAATTAGTGATGAATATACTGGAAGTATTTGCAATGTAATTTGTTTTGTTGGTCACAAACAGCAGTCTGCAGTCCTTCATTTCTTTCTTGGGGAGATGACTTTTTTTTGCTTCCAAGTGGAATACCTGAAATCTATTTCTTTTTTTTTTTTTTTCTGCCATTGGGAAAAGAAATGTGTTGAAGCTTGTATTGAAAATTCAAATCCAAATTGAATGATAGAAAAGCGGACAAAAATCCACGGGGGCCCATAATTTTATAGTTAACCCACAAAAAATCAGATGCCAGCAAGCAATGACACTCTTTTTTTTCCATTACCTGTAATTTAGGAGATATTTCTTAATGTCGTTTTAGGAATGCCTTTTAATGGTGTAAATAATTCAAAATTTTAATTGGACCAAACTAGAACACTTTCTTGATTTAGAAAAACTATTTAAGATACTTCTTTATTTATCTTAGCAAAAGAGACGACAAGAAATTGAACAAAAACTTGAAGTGCAGGCAGAGGAAGAAAGAAAGCAGGTTGAAAATGAGAGACGAGAACTGTTTGAAGAAAGACGTGCTAAACAGACAGAGCTGCGGTTACTGGAGCAAAAGGTTGAGCTTGCTCAGTTGGTGAGTTTTAGTTTTGCTCTTGATCTTTCTCTCGATCTTGTTTGAACTATTCTTGTGTATCTTAGGGTCACTTTCTTTCATTTCTCAGCAAGAAGAATGGAATGAACATAATGCTAAAATAATTAAATACATAAGAACGAAGACAAAACCCCATTTATTCTACATACCTGGCAGAATGTGTCCTGCTACGCAGAAGTTGATGGAAGAGTCACAGAAAAAGATGAATGGTAAGTGGCCTTTGTGATACAAAGGCCCTTGTTCATGCCTCCCTTTGATGTTTGCTGTACAAATTTCTTTTAAGTCTCTCTGCTTAAATACATGAATTTCATGGTTCGGACAAACTGTTCGTGCATGGGTGTTCATCATAAGCGAACATTACTCTTTCAGTGACTTATTTTTATGTTGGATGTGCTTTGATTCTCTTACAAGAAGTCAAAAGAGGTGTATGCGTAATCTCAGAGGTATGTGTTTAAAACATAGTCTTTTTATATTAGCTTTAGTACCCAAATGTATGCCAGCGCAGCAATTTAGTTTTTGAAAAGGCAGATTCTATGGATTGAAGATGCAAGGAAATGCAGGTTTTTTGCAAAGGATTTGAGAAGTTTTCTTAAGCACAGCACTAGAACTTTATGATGATTTTTTTTTTTTTAACCTTAATGTGTGTTCATTTCTGTTTCACAGGATGACTATATTTTTCTTTGGAAAACAATTTAAAATACTGCGGTTGATGGTAGTCCTACTGTTCTTTTTTATTAAACTGAGAATGTATTGGGTTTTTTCTCTTAAGGAGCTTGTCTTCATTGTGTGGGGTTGGGCAATAAGAGAAGCTAGCTCACCTGTCTGACTAGCTTACATTATTTAAGCTTTCTTAATACCTAACCAGCTTTTTGCTGATTCTTACTGTCTTTTGTTTACCTTAGGAAGTATAACCTTGTTAATATATAAATACCAGGAAATTAAGGTATTACTTTGATATACTGTTGGTTGGATTGATTTTAATGAAGTCAAAAACTCTTTTTGTTAGCTTAGATTTAGGGCTTTACTGTTCTGATACTCAGCTGAGCTGACTATCCTCTTTGCTTTGTTTTCTTAAGGTAACTAGCAGTCTTTTTCATTATGCATGAATGGTTTGCTACTTCAGAATGAATAAGGATACAGTACTTAAAAGTTAAAGCAATTTAATAACTTATTAGCTCATAGTTAAGGGGGAAATAGACTTCAGTGTCTGTAGATACCTGAAACTTATTTATGCATTTATTCCCTAGCACTCTTTGAAAGCAGGCGAAATGAATTTGCAGAGCAGATTAACAAAATGGAGGCCAGGCCCAGAAGACAATCTGTGAAGGAAAAAGAACAGCAGGAGGTGCAGAATGAAGAAAAGAAGGAAGAACAGAACAAGGAGCAGGAAGAGGGTAAGGTGGCTCAGCAGGTGGAAGAGTTGGAGACAGGTAATCAGCACAATGATGTAGAAATGGAGGAGGTAGGGGAGGAAAAGGGAAAAATAGGTTCAGGGCATAGCGATGCAGAGAAAGAGCAGGAAGAGGATGAACAAAAACATGAAATGGAGATTAAAGTAGAAGAGACTACCGAGGTGAGGGAGAATGACAAGCAACAGGATGGTCAGCATGAAGAGGTCACAGTTGCAAAAGAGGAAAGTGAAAACATTCAGCCAGTGGATAATGAGCAGGATGTGGCTGAAATGAATGAGGCAGATAGCATAGAACCTGTAGAAAATGAAAATGGCAAAGAAGTGGAACCAGAAACAGAGTGTGATGCTCAGTCAGAAAAAGTGTGTAATGTTCCTTCTCCCGAGAAAGAGAAAGGTATTAAACCGGAAATGAAAGCTGAACCTGAAGAAAAACAGGAGAAGGCACCTGAAGCTCAGCCAGAACCTGTGGCTGAGGCTCTGTCTCAGCCACAGTCTGTGCCACTGCCACAGTCACCTCAGTTGTCTCAGTCCACTCAGGATACAGAGCCCCAGGCAGACAAGGATGAAAATGCTGTGGTGTCTGTAAAGGTGGTCGAGGCACAGACAGAGCAGAGTCAGACACCAAGTGTAGAAATTAAGAGTAAGACTAGGAGTAGAAGCAGGGGTAGGGCAGGGAACAAAACTGGTAAGAGTCATAGCCGTAGTAGCAGCAGCAGTAGTAGCAGTAGTACTTCGAGCAGTACTACTACTGGAAGTAGTTCCAGCACTGGCAGCAGTAGCAGTCGGAGTAGTTCCACCAGCAGCAGCACTACAAGTGGAAGTACTAGCAGGGACAGTAGCAGCAGTAGCTCTAGCAGTAGTGAAAGTAGAAGTCGAAGCCGAGGAAGAGGGCATAATAACAGAGATAGAAAACGCAGAAGGAGCACAGACAGGAAGCGAAGGGATCCTTCAGGAGTAGATAGAAGTCACAAGTCCTCAAAAGGTGGGAGTAGAGATGCCAAAAGCTCAAAGGATAAAAGTTCAAGATCTGACAGAAAGAGGTCTATATCAGAAAGTAGTCGGTCAGGCAAGAGAACTTCACGGAGTGAAAGAGACCGTAAATCAGACAGGAAAGACAAAAGGCGTTAACAGAAGAGACCAAGCTTCCTTAGCCTAATCTTTGCAGCGGAAGATTATTTGAGTGAAAGGATTCCTTGTAAGGAGGAGGAGAAGGCTGCCTTAAGAATTGCATGCTGTAAAAAATCTTTTGGAAAAATGCAGACTGTTTACCAGGCATTCTTGTACTTTTTACATAATTTTGTAAAAGGTTACTTACCAAAATTATGTGAAGTTCCTGAAAATGTAAAAATAAAAGATTAACACTCCTTTGCATCTTTTTTTAAATATCCTGTACTCATTCAGATCCTCTGTATATTTTAATAGGTAAACCTTTAAGTAGATGTGATCACTTCTTCTGTATCATACACTTTTTTTTTGTAGAAATAAATGTGCGTTTTAAATAAATTGTTTGAGATGTCCTGTTGACAATTAAATTCCCCTTTTAGATCATATGTAGGGAGGCAGTGTTGCAGGAAATGTAAAATTTTGCTTTTCCCCTCTATTCCTTGCAAGAATGGGAATCTTAAGACCCAGTAAAGCGAGTAATCTCTCCAGTGCTGGGTAGGAAGGGAAAATAATTGATTTGGATCTATACCTTTTGTTTTCTTCTGTAATCACAAGCTCTTACTCAATTCTATCTTCCAGTTTTAGAAAACTTTTTCCTATCCATAGGCAAGCAGTGATTAAATGGGAATGTTAACACTGGCCAAGATAGCTCAAGTCAGTCTGGAATACCGCTCTTACCTGCCTTCTGCAGGTGCTTTGGTAGTATTTACACCTATGTTCTGGTCAATCTGTTTAATGATGTTCCTTGCTTTGATGGCCAGTGGGGGAAAGACTTCAGCTTGCTTCTCAACCAGGATTCTTTTTATTTTAGTTGCAGACTAATCTTTGATCCCTTCGTACCACTAGGAATAATTACATTGCAGTGTTGGAGTTACCTGGGACTACCTAATACTAATGTTGTGTGCGTGCAAGAATGCTTTCTGAATGTATTTAATACAACTTAAAGTGGTATGGTGTTATCTATGAAGGTGAATACTGTTTTTATATAATTTTGTATGGAAAACAATAACATCTGTCGCTCTGTTCTGTACATGTGCAAATAAATGTGGCTTTGTAGACTACTCTCTCGATGTCTCTGATGTTTTCTGTAACACAGGTGTATTACCTTAGTCTGTCTACGTTTAAAGCATGAATCCTAATTGCAGGTGACTGTACCTTAGAAGCTCTGTATCCAAAATTGTTCCTAGAGGCTTTAATTAATGCCTATTAACTGAATATGAGACACTGCTCTAATCCATGTTGTCTTGGCAGGAAGAGAATTCTCATATGCCAAATGGCAGAGCAGGAAGTCCTAGAAAGATTTTGGAATGAAAATGATATGTAAGCTTATTTTAGCATACAAAATGCCGTACATACCCCATTTTTCTGGAACAGAGCAGACTTTTGCAAAGTTCTAGTTTGGGAGGGTGTCAGGTTTGGGATTTTTCGTGTGACAGACTTCTGTGTTCTGAAGTGCTGAACTTCCTGGCGTAAAGAAATGGGTTAGGGAGGGATGGAGCATTCTTTCAGCACAAATAGATGCAGTGGGAAAGTTCCTCAGGCTTCTCAGCAAGTTCAAGACTTTATTCTGATTCTTCAGTCCATTTGCTACTTCGATATCCTATCTGCCTCTGCTTCTTTACAACAGAGTGGTTGTGTAAATGTTACTGGTTTGCATGTTTCAACTACACATTTCAAATTGCCTTTGGAAGCCATTTTAATTTTGTCGATTTTTTTTTTTTCCCTCCCACTTAACATTGAGTATTTTTAAGATTTCTTATTTTGAACTTAATTGAGTGATTCACTGCTGTAGTGTATTTACAGGTTTTAAAGGCTGATACTGTAGTCATCGTGTAAAGCTAGAGACGTAGGTTGCTAGTCGGAAGCCGCTGTTTCAGAGGAGCACGTTCACAGGGTTTATAAAAACAATGTGGTGGGTCCTGGGAACTGAACTAGGGATTGGATGGATTACATGGTTTCAGGTTATATTACAGGCAGCAATGTATTTTTGACAAGGTGAAAATACAGGGGTTTTGTTGAGCTGAGTACAAAGCTGGTGATGTATTTGATAGTTTGATGTTTGTCAGAAGAAACTTACTGCCATGGTAGTAGCTGTGTCATTAATTAGTTAGCCTTGCTAAATCTAAGCAGCTCAATGCAACATAAACATCAGTATGTGATGACTTCATAAGAATGAAGTTTTCTAAAAGCTAGATATTCCAACCAATATTCCACTACAGAAATAGTATAAGGTAGTAGTATACTATTAGCACAATATTACATAAAGACCTGTGTCTTTATAAAGCAGTAGTATTTTTAGTAATTGTTAAATTTGCCCTCGGGGTCCCATCCTCTTACCCTGAAACAATTTCAGAGCTGTGCATAGGGCTGAGACCGTGGGTGCAATTTCCTTCCTCTCTTCCCAGTCTACTGTTTCAAAGAGCTGGCCATTTCAAGGCTGAATTTGCTGCAACAGTTTGGGGTTTCTGAGAAGTAAGCGCAGATAGCATCGGGGTAGGAAATGATTAAAACATTTTCTTATTTCCCTTCCCCATAGCGGTGAGTAAAGATCAAAGGAAAAATACCTTGTTCTCTCTTCACTCAAGTAATGTGGGAAAAGGAACGATAGAAAAGGGGCAAAACTAAGAATGAAGTAGAGGTGCTTTATGTGAGCGGGCAACACGTGCTGTGTGCTCTATGCCTGTCTTGCGGAGTGCTTCCATCAGATGGTCCCTCCTAGCTTTAAGGGTAACTTTAGAAGGCAGTTGTTTGGTTTGGGGTTTTTTTTGAGCTTTTATACTGTGCGCTGACTCTATACCATTTCCTTGTCTTTTTCTGCAGTCCTGACGCACAGATAAACTGGAAGGCTCCAAGAATGTGTTTTTTCCATGATGCTCCACTAGGAGTCCTTGTCAGAGTAGATTTTGCACAGATTGTTCATTAATTATAAGCTGAAACGTGACTTTGCATAAAAGGTACACCTCTTTAATTCCTGCTCCTTTGCTTAAGGTGATGTCTTTGTGCTTAGAACAACTTCATCGTATGTATTCAGAGGAAACCTGAACATATTTTTTCTGCGGAAAGTAGGTATTAGTGAACTAAACACACCCTTCCAGCAAAATTTCCAAACCCAGTAAATTTGCAAATAGATTTCTAGAGCATCTTTTGTTTATCAGGAAAGTAATGGTCTTGTGGTTAGGTCCCAGTTATAATTTTGAGATTCAGCTGCTGATTTTGTAGCAATTACTGTGGTACAACAGGACCAACCTATTCATTTTATGTCTGTCCCAGATCTTTAAAATGAGTTTCCCTGCTCAAAGAAGTATTTCTCTGAGACTACATGTACTTATGATGGGATCAAATGTTGTGGCAGTGGTGTATGAGTAGCATACAGAGATCTGTGGTTTGGAGGAGGATATAATTTTGCTCTTTCAGACTTTTTTTTCCCTCTTCATCTCTGTCTTATAGCAAACCTGTGTTTTACTGCAAACCTTCTTCAGGCAGCTGGTATTAGGTGACAGTGCTCTATTATATGGCAAAACGTGAGGCATTCAAAGCTTGGAAACGTATTATCAAAATTCAAAGTAATATAAGTCACGAGTTCCATGATTTTCTAGAATTGCACTGCTGGTTGTCATGCTTGTAACCGTTTTTGTAATAGGGAAGCAATGATGTTTTGGTTTTTTTTCCTTGCTATTTGTTGTCCTGGCTGAAAAAGCTGGTTTAAATCTGGATGACGAATGGCTGTTACCTGTTTAGATCTGTCTAACTGGAAGAGTGAATTAGTGTTCCTTTTCTTTCTTTGACTTATTAATTTTTAAAAGATATTTGTTTAAAAAAAAAAAAATCGTTTTGGCATGACATTTGATTCAATGTAAAAGCTGATCTGTATTTTCATCCAAACATCCTAAGTCAAGAGAACTATATTTTTAAAGTGCTTTTGGCATGGACTGTATTCTTCTATGTACTAGTGCAATATTCTACACGGTGGAACCCTACATTCGGTATGGAGCCTTTTGGTGCTATCATAAGAATATAACCAAAGCTGTATATACTGTTGCTGTTATAAAATAGATGTTGACTTTAATGTACTTGGAGAACTTTTACCGACTTATTATTTGCTTTGGGATCTTTATTGTTAATGCAGATACTGAATAGTCTAGGAAATGCAATCTCTCTTTTACTTATACAAAGCCATGTCTTAAAAGAGCCATCCCGTGTGCCATACTACTCGGTTTATTCAAATTACACCATTCATTCCGAGTTGATCCTTCTGTGAATTTTAATATATCATAAGGGATCTCTGCATTTCTAGCTCGGTAGTTAAAGTTACTAAGATGTCATTGCAAATAAAAGTTAATAGTTTCATCCAAGCGAAAGCTGCTGGAAATAGATCTTACTTTTTCATTAGCATTGTTTGTCTTCGCATTTGTAATAGTACTCACATTTGTTGCTTCAGTTCTGCAGAACAGAAATTAACTGGAGTCTCAGTTTATCTGCTATAAAGCTTTCAACTTTGCCCTTTGGAAGCCAGCTATGATAAACTCCCTGAATCTTTATCGTTGACTTTAGTTCAAAGGTGATTAGAAGTTATGCTTGTATAACATCTGCAAGCATAGGATTTACACCCAGAGGAAAAGAATATTTGATATAAATATGATTTATTATTGAAGTTACTAGAGGAACAAACAACACAGACCAGAGACCAGAGCAGTGCTCATCAGCCTTTTAACAGCTTCAAACCTAGAAGAATGCTTGTTGAGACTAAGCTACGCAACGAGCAGTGCCCAGAATAACTTGAAAATTGCAGATGTAGCTTAAACTGAGTAGCTAAGATGAGCTGCAACATTTTATCTCCATATAAAGACTTGAGAATTAGTTTGGGTATCCATATGAAACTGAAGTCAGAGCCATTTTCAGAGCTATTTTGACAAATACAGTAATAACATGCAGATCTCAAGGTGTGGGTCTGATAGTTTGTTTGCCCACACAAACTTGCTGAAGTATGTAATTTTAGGCATCAGAATACCCGGCTTTTCCATTTTTAGGTGAATCAGCCCCATGTTACCAGGCTGAAAAAGGGACTGTTAACCTTTCTAGGCCCATTATTGGTTTTACTCCCATGTTCCATGGTTGGTGTACGTTATGAAAGACTCTTCTGACCAGTTGTTAATCTTGGTGGGATAAAAATATTGTTCTTTTTTTTATTTTGTACAACACT